TATTGACGATCTTCAGCCAGATGCTGAAACTGCAGACATTAAAGTTGTCATAGCATACCCGAGCGGGAATGTTATTGTAAAGAAACTTTTTGACAGCATAAGTAAGGCTATAATAAGAAATATTTCACTGAAGCATTGGCAGCATGCTATAAGCTCTATTTTCACCCATCAAACCCTCCGYGAAGAGCTTCATTGCAAGTTAAAAAGGGAAATAAAAAAAGAAGTAATTGAGTACTCACGATCTGACAATGTTTTAAAGAATAGCGAGCCAGACCAGCTTGCCGTCTTCTCCAGCTGTATTCTCTTTCACGAGGTTGACACTTGCTGCCCATTCTTTAGCACTCTCCTAAAAAGCGCCTGCAATTATGACGACGATAACGTAAAAGAGAAGTGTGTCAACGTAATGGCTCTTGCTAAATCTACCCTACTTCGTTGCAGAAACGCAACATTGTCTGCTGTAGGCTAAAGAATGTCTACTCTACTATTCCACAGTGGCCCAAGTTTTACAGACCACGTTAGGCTAAATCATTTAGGCGTTCGCATGTCTCCTCAAATGTCTATCGTGCTGCAACGCAAGATGGTCGAAAATTCTAACTTTAAAGTTGTACTTTGGAAGCGTGAAATAGAAGCTAACAAAACTGCGCTACTTCTGCTGAAAGAAATTAGAATGAAGCAAATCCACCAAAGGCAAGATGACGACATGGTCTGCGAAACGGATATCGACATTGCAATGGACACTTTGTCAGGTTATCGCTGCTTTACCAGTACATCTTACGAGAAGGCCACCTCAGTTTTAAAGGACGTTCAGTCGAATATGTTAGATACAGCTATAACCGAGGATGCTTTGAATGATGTCATCACGAAGTTAAGAGGAGAGAGATTACCCCATTACAAGTAAGATTTCTAAAAAAAATAATCGTAGTAATAATAATACAACCTTAATATAAAAGGCGAAATTGCATGCACATCAATCAAACGAAATCTGACAAAATTACTTTAAGACTTTCCCTTGGTATGCAGAATTGTAGTAATCGAATCAATAGCCACATTTTAAAGGATATAAATATTTATATATTATATTTATTAATATCATTTTTGTGAGTCAGCTTGAACTATTTGTATTTCTTTYCATTTACTTAGCTCTCCAGATATTACCATGCCAGATGATAATGCAACGAAACAAACAAACAAACAAAAAATGCAATGGCTACTAGATTTATGCACTAAGCATGTAGAAAAGTATGTTGTAAGATCTGATGTAACAACAGTTGTGTCACAAACTGAAGAGCTTGACAGAAGCASCAGGCAAAGATATTCTTGTAGGACGGAGGGATGCCCTAAAAGCTATGTGCATCATAGTCGGAGAGTTAGGTACATGCATATCCACTGCTCAGTTATAAACACAAAATAAAAGTGTGCAACATAAATACTGCTAAWTTATGCTAATCCTATTGTTTTCTATTGTTTAATTAGCACTATTTACTACTAAATAGTGCAAAGTGGTGCACACTTTTTGTGTTTGTACTCTATAACCAAGGCCACCTAATTATGTTTAATTAAAAAAACCATTATACTAGCCAATAAGATTAGATGTTCCCAACCTTTTATATTCATACAACTTTGATTTAATGGCCTTGTTTTAATGGTCACACTGTATTAATGTACAGCAAAATAATTCGTTTGTGGTTTATAACATGACAAATAAAAAGAATGACATGGTTTCACAGGTCAACCGCTCTAATATGATTTTTTAATGTAATATAGACATGAAGTTGTCGACCACAACCTCAAACTACAGATTTTCCTTGTGGATGAAAGAGCTGTAATTGTGGACTTGTGTTGAGCACCAAGGCCATCAGAAATAGGTATGTTTTTTAATTGTTGTAATTATTGTTCTGTAAAACCTTTCTGCAGGCAATWTATGTATTATTCGAAATTCAAAGTTCTTATACTATTCACCATTGAATCAAACACAGTAGTACCAATTAAACCATACAAAATAAAAAGTGTATTGGTCACTATAGTGCTATATAATAATAAATACTATTAAATTGTGAAAAAGATTCAAACTACTAAGAACTATAAACAGATTATTGTATGAAAAATATTCTCACCAGGCATGAAAGTAAAGAACACCAAAGGCCTGCTGGTGCGCAGCAAGGACTAAGTACCAATGAGCCAGAGAAAGAAGATCCTAACGATTATATCTTTAACTACCACCAACAAAAGCTGGCATTTGGTCTATTGCTTATGGCTTTTGAAGATGCAGTAAAGGAAGGAGATGGGCAATGTCTGTTTCAAATTTACAAATTTACATTACTGATTTATAAGACACACAACCATAATAAGTATGCATATGTCAATTTGTTATATTTAGTCAAGATATGTGCAATTATGCTAGAGTTTGAAGCAGAAAGATTGAAAGGGAATAGGTTTATTGATAAGCATGGTGGAAAGTGTCTAAATATCCCACTTKATCTTCACAAAGAAGTACTACAGGTATATACATTAATTAAAATAAAGTAATGCATATCAGAAAGTATAAATAAAGCATATTGAACATTATGCACTCTAATACTTGTTTTCTAATCCATGTGCAATTATCAGTTAAAATTATTGTTTGTTGATTATACAACTGATCTTCAATGGGTTGTCCACCTTTTTATGAAACATTATATTGGAAATGTCTTTTTSAAGGTGGATGATCAGGCTGTAGCTAATGAGCAAATAATAATACATTAAATGCATCTAAATATTATTATTTTTATTATGTCCATACTTCTGGTAGTTCGTCTGAGTCATAGCCATCATGATCCCTGTCATCCTCCGTACAAACTTCATCAAAYATTTGACTAAGAGAGTCCATCATGCTTGCATAGTTCAATTGTGCTTCCTTAGTAACATCTGTCATAACAAGAAGTTCCATACACTCATCAAAATTTGGTATGTCTTGAAAGATTTCTTGAATGATTTCAAGAATTTYTATAGCATGAACCAAGCAAAAAACTGGACATGTTTCCAAGATTTCATAAACGGAAAACAGTTTTGAACAGTTTTTACAAACATCCTAAATTAATTGTTGAGAAATTCCATGATAGGAAACCTTGTCAATTAACCCACCAACTTCCATTCCCAACTGCACTTCTTTAAGCGCTTCTTTAAGACAATCTCTGTCTTCCTCTGCTACTGGTCTTGAGAGCAAATGTGGTGGTGGCAAATCATCTATACATTCATTGTATGGCAAGCAGTCACACTTATCTCCTTTGCACTTGCATTGTTTTGTGCAACAAGAACAACAAATTTGGCCTGGGCTTAATGGTTCTATCTTATCATCCAGACTATAATATCCGGCAACCCGCAAACAGCCACTTTCTCTGCATTCAGTAGTTGTCTTATTGGCTCTTCACATAAACTGGTTGGCCATGGTAAACTAGGAAAACATGGCTGGGAAACATATCTCGGCCTGCTCGGCCAGCTTCTTGATGAAAGTCTAATATGTTTCTTGGGGGTCCCCAGTTCAAGACAAATCTGACGTCAGGGAAATTAACCCCCATACTAAGTGCCGAGGAAGCTACCACCACTCTGATCTTTCCTTGACCTTTGAATGACTCAACTACCCTATCCTTATTTTTCTGCCAGGAACTAGAATGATAAATTCCCAGTATGCAATCTTTTTGGGGAGCTTGAACCTTCAGGAGAGTATGCTGATTTGAGCATAAGGTGATTTATCACACTTGCAATGTCATTCATCAGATTGCAGAATATGATCGTCTTGTCCATTCCCTCTCCTTTTTCTTTTATCATCTAGATAAGCCATTCCAGACTAGAGAACATATCCTGGTTAAGAACTTTCTTGACAGAAAATCGCAGTTTTTCTGTGTTTAGACTTAGCTTGAGGATGGTGGCATTTCGTAGCACCAGGTTATCCACGATTGTTTTAATGGTCTTGTCATCTGCCGTTCCAGTGAGAGCCAATACTGGTGTACCTTTATGTAAAATACAGACATGACTGAGAAAATCAACTTCAGATTAGTGACACATTCAAAAATTCAGAAGTAATAATTATCAATTGTGTAATCTTAAGATTTCAATTCTTTTCCCAACACTAAAAAAAAAAAAAAGTTAAAAAAAAACAATAAGTTCAATACTGTATTTACTAGCCAGCGTAGCGGACATAAAAGCTGCTTCAACCATACCCGCACACCACTTTTACAAATCAATACAAAAAACAACAACAAACTTTATTCGCAAATTTCAGTAGATTACAGATACGTATAGTAGTCTATAATTATAGCATCAAGAGAAAATATATAAAAGATAGTTATTTTGTTGTAGTGCCTAAAGGCTAAATAAACTGGGAAGTGTTCATGCTAGCCTTTAGTTGCTCAATTGTTTGAATAAAATATAATGAAAAAGAAAGTGAAATTYTAAGTGACTTTCATGAAAGTATGGTGTCGCGGTTCCAAGGCTGTCGCACTCCACAGCAAGAAAACGCTAGTGTTCAACCAGTGCATGGTCTTGAAATGTTTTTGTTAGACAATACACGG